AATGACAATGGTTTAGCAAGGTCTGGGCTCACTCTCAAAGTTTTATCTCCTGCAGAGTATCTTAAATGCAACTACTATACATCCTTATTTATGATGTTTGAACAAATCTATACAATAAATTGTTGAAAGATAAATTCATATATATATGACAAAGGGAATGATTCAGTAGTAGCCCATTGGCTTTATAACCTTCAAAATAAAGAATCCATCATTCATTTTCTAATAAATTCATCTAATATCTATTTTCCAAAGTTAAAGTTAAAAATTCTAAAATGACAACAAAAATTGTTTTTTTTTTCAAAAATTGCTTTTTAAAAATATATTATTATTTATCTGAAAGAGCGTGTATACGAGCGTGTGTGCACACACAGGGGGGAGGGACAGAAGGAAAGGAGCAGAGGGGGAGGGAGAGGGCCAAGTAGACTTCATGCTGAGTGCCAGAGCCCCAAATGGGGCTTGATTTCACCATCCTGAGATCATGACCTGAGCCAAAACCAAGAGTCAGATGCTTAACCGATTGAACCACCCAGTTGCCTCACAAAAATAGCCTAATGGAAAACATATGAAGCAAAAGAATGGATGATGAACTAACCCGCTGATCATAATTATAGCAATGACCATTAAAAGGGAGTTTTCACTTAAAATTAAAATACTTTTATTGTAATAAATAACCAAACAGAAGACTAGGACATGAAACAAAAGAGAAGAAATCTGAATTTACAAATTCTACCAGTTTTACAGAGATTAGACACTATCTGGGTCTTTCCTGATGAACCCTACATTTCTAACCCAAGTTGCTCATTTAGAACTACACCATAGACAGGCCCAGGTGCCTGATACAGTCATTTATTTCTGATGCAATTTGTTAATATTTTTGCATGAATGTCTACCCTCACTCAACTCCTAGCTCCTTAATTTTTTGTGGACAAGAATTCTTATAATTATTCATGGCTCTATATGCATATGGTTGCCTCTGGACAAACAGCTTAAAGCTAAATCAATGCAGCAAAAATGGGACTAATTTATGTAGGAAAGAAAATGTACATTGTGGTCAGTGGACAATGAAATATGGGTCTGAATGTGGCCTCACAAAAGTCGTTACTTCTGTAACTTCACAGAGCTGCTATCAAGCATTTCACTGAGATTTCACACACACACACACACACACACACACACACACACAAACACAATGTATTCTTCATAGATTCTCATGTATACAGTGGTTTTAAATCCAACTGCTTGAATATGAATCTACTGGACAAATATCCACAATAAAATAAATCACTTCTAAACCAAGAGGTGAATCTCAGTTTGCAGCAGTGAGCAGAGAAACTGATGAACAATGTGGATGGCACCATAGTGCCCACAATGCCATCCTCCAGTGTGGCACCAGCTTTTGCCAAGTAAAATCTGTATTTAAATTCTAAACAATCTGTTTTAAACTATTTTTTTTTCTGTTTCAAGAAACTGGACAGGCTTTACAAGCTGATATTAATCAGAAATTTTTCATACATGATTCAAGTCAAAGTAGTCCTTAAATGCTTCACATGATGAATTTGGCTGTGGCTGTTACGTAGTGCTGAGTTATACAGCCCGACCACATAAGTAAAATAAAGCTTCTGAGGCATCCTTCAAAATATGAAAGACTGTCAGCCTACAAGTCATATAACTGAGGTGCTTTGGCCCCAGACATACTTCTTTACCAAATTGGGCCTTAGAGAAATTTCTAGAAGAAAAACCTGCCACACTGCTGATTTTTCCCTAGATAGGTTCCCATATTGAACTAGAGTAAAATAGAGAATGAGCTTCACTTTTCCATCAATATTACAATCCTACGACTCCCAGAAATGTCTCCACATGACATGATGAAACAGCAAAATTTCCAACTTTTCCTCAGTATTCTCCTTCTGCCAACTTTGATTAAACAAGTGTGGATGTGCTCTATCTGTTCCAGACACACTGAATGTAGATGACTTCTCAGTAATCCTCCTCTCTCTTTAAAAACTAATAAGCAAAGGTAGATTAGTTTTTCGGATATCTTTCAAGGTATCCTTCTATGAATGGTTCTTTATTTTCTGATGCCCTTCCAAGGCTCAGGGAGTTGTCATGCAATGTTGACATGGAAATGATGCAACATTTAGTTTAATGGGTTTACCTAAGCCAACTGCCTCCTCATTAGGTGGTTAGCAATGTGAAATAGAAATTTAAAATATAGCCTTACAAACCATTTATTGCCCTTTCGATATCTGACTATTGCTTGAGACAATCTAATATAAGTGAAATAGCACAGTATTTTACCAGAAGACTGGCTTTTGAGCAAGGTTCTTCCATATATAAGTGATATGATCTCAAGGTAGTGTAGCGCTCACTTAATACGCTGCTGTTTGATGAAAGCAACATATGATTTAGTTGTAACTGATAATAGACCCAGACACACAACTCAGGGTATGTGGGGTCAAAAGGCTGTGACGGCATGTCTTATGGCTATTAACCATAGTAGATTTGGAGAATTTTTCTGATCCACTGAGAAGAGGCATAGAGAAAAACTGTAAGAAACAAGATCATGCAAGTACTAGTATTTCCTTCTGTGTGTGGGTGAATACATTGATGGTAAAGAATAGCATATTTTAATAACTGCTAGGGTTTGAAATTTCAATGATGCCATAACCCCTTGAGGATCAAACCCAAATTCTTTACCTAAACTTTCCTAATTCTACATGCCACCACAAAGAATGGTCTGTTCCAGGCCCTCTGCACACCCTGGGGGATCTTTTTTGCTATTGGCATACCTTTTCCAAGAATGCCCGGTGATTTCTCTCCCCAACATGAGTTCCATCTGGGGTCCTCTCATCTTCCAGAAAACCTCATTAACACCCTATACTCTCTTGATCCTTTTCTCTTTAAAATTTCCGAAGCCTCTTTTGTACCATGCATTTGGCTGCTTTGGAACATTGTCCTGTTCTGTTACTCAACTCACAAAGATTTGTGTGCCTTTTGTAGGCTCTTGCGCTGCAACTGGAATTGAAGACAGGGAGGGTCTCTGTCCTTGAGGCATTCACTATGGATTAGGCTGGTCACTAATATGGGTGCAAGACGGTGGTGCCATGGCAGATGTTTGAGTCCAATGCTGTGTAAGACCCACCAAGCTTGCTGGGTGCACAATCGTGACATTCAGCCACACCATGCTCTTCCATTCCTTATTTCTGTCACCTCCTGGCCTGCTAGTTCTCCTCACTCAAGAAAATTGTGTCACCCATGGGTTAGTCTCCACCTCCATACTTCTGCCATCAACCTGGTCCCTACAGAATCCATGTGCATTTGCCTTTCCATCTCATGCCTTCCTCAGCTAGACCTCAGCCTTCTACGCTCACTTTCACCATCCAATGGATCTGCTTCGGAAACCCCTACTTCAAACATCTTTTCTCCTACACAAATTTTCTCTGCTAAGTACCCCCGTGGTGACAGTTCTTCAACTTTACCAGGTACTTCCAGCTGAATGACATCTTCATTTACTTCCAACCATTTACATCTCCTTTTTGTCTTTCCTTCCTTCTCTATCCAGATTAGTCTATCATTCTAATGTCTACATTTTAAATATCTGAAACTCTACTACCTTTGCATCTGGTCCAAACCCTGTCTTTCAAAACTGCCCAGCCCAGGATGAACCTGACCATCTACTTTCCTCAGGTCCACATAGGTGAGATTGAGTATGGTTGGAGCAAAATGCACAATGCACTGGTTGGAAGTACACAAATCAATTATCAGAACCCAGCTCAAAAGCCTGGATCTCCAACATCTAGAATGTCTACTGCACATAATCTCTTCCAACATCCAACTCACTTGTTATATGCATGCATTTGATCTTAACCCACCTTTACTGAGAAAGGGAAGACATGGAACAAATCTGTTTGCATCATCCACTCCCAACCATAATTGTAGGTTCACCTACAATTAAAGTCTCCTCCCTCCCTTTGCTGTCACAGGGCTTCTCCTCTTACCCAGCTGGTATATGGGAACTTGGAGAGGTTCCCTGCTCTGAAAGTCATATGCAGAACCTGGCCATCACCCCGTCCTGGACAACAGACCACATCTGCTTCAGTTGGTTTCTTTATAGCTCAGAGACTGAGTCCCTGGGGATCTCAAGGGAGCTCAGCAGTCATCTCCGTTAACTAACTTTATGGGAAAATGCTGGGCCTTGATAAATTAAAGAATATAAGTGAGCAAACAAGGTAGGAGGAACAAAGGGAGGAAAAGACAAGGGAGGCAGGAGCTCCTATATGTGTTCTTGGGACCAGCCAGTCTCTGTCTTGCTCACAGTGAAAGGCATTATGGAAAGATGCAATGAATACAAATGTGTTTTGCAGATGCTAGGATCAGCAACAATTTAAGAATTCCAAGCAACAAAAATCAGACCCTAACTTATCAAACTTCTTAGTTTCCAAATACTCAGTGTATCAAAGAAATGCTCTGGCAGTCACTAAGGGAGAATAAAAACACTATCTCTGTGAGACTCCATGCTAGCCATTTCCTTCACATGGAGACCCTCATCCCTACCCCTTTTCACGTTAGTAATTCCTTTTCATGTTTTACCATCCTGTCTTTATTTCTTGTTTTCTATGAAGCTTTTTCCAAGCCCTAGAGCTAGTGGCTCCTTGCTCTGCATCCCCACAGTCAACAGGTGAACTGGTCAGGCCCATATCAGTCTATATCATGATCAACACTCAAGCATTCATCACCCCCCCTAAGCAAACTGCCTGGTCCACCACCGTGTTCTTGCACTCAGCATAATTCCTAAGAATCCAGCACACACCTGTGGAATGAATGAATGAATGACATGACAAGAAGCAGAGCCCTCCCTCATTCTCTTTGTGAAGGTCACATGGTGTCCTACACACTGGTAATCTCTACTGTGGTAAGTACTCTGCTGACCAGGCAATCTCTGCTGCTTCTGTCTGGCTAAAGGAAGAGAGTGCCTCTCTTGAGTCCCCCTGGCCACTCACCTGGCTTGCTGGCAGACACAGCAGATCCACACCTTCTCATGCTTCTGGTAGGAGCAGCAGCTCTTGCAGACATTGAACTTACAGTCGGCACATCTGCGCTTGGTGTTGACCAGGAAGGTGAAGGGCGAGCAGCAGCGCATGCAGCAGTGCTCCACGAACTTCTGGTGCTTTGAGAGGATGCTGCACTTGCTGCCTTCCTCAGCCAGCTTCTGCTTCATCTCGCTGGGCAACCGGGAGGGAAAGAGAAATAGCACACCACGTCAGGACGCTCTCCATAAAGCATCCACCTGGGCCACCTACAAGCCAAGCCACTATGTAGGATCTTCCCACAAAATGATAAACTCTGAAAGACCAATTGCTTGACATGATATCCAGAAAGGAACCCTGATGGTGGATTAATTTTTGTGCACTTCAGCATGTCATGTTTTCTATGAGAAATCACATAAGCCTGATTACTAATATTTCAGACAATAGGTTGAGATAAAATTATAAAAACTAAGCACATCCTTGGAAAATAATACCTTTAACTTAATGCCTTTTTAAAGTAGCAGAAGATCATCTATGCTCAAACATTAATCCTCATAACAGCCCTGCTGGGAATAGGATAAATGTGGCCCTGGTCTTATTTAACACCCCTGAAACGGAAGCACCCAGGGATTTTAAAAGCTTTCATATCAATGTAAGTCAATAAAGATTCTCTGGATGATGGACAAATCCCAAGCACTAGTGATTCAGAACTGAATCAAAGACAATCCTTTCTTCCAAAGAGCTCACGGTCATACTGGGCACACAGCCAGCCATATTAATGCAAAACATCACACTGCATATGCTTCCGTCTACACTCAGGGAGGAGGAAAGAGAAATCCTAAGACAAAGATACCCCGAAACAGGTGGAGTCTCCTAGGAAAACTGACTGGAGGTAACCAAGTTACTCTGACCTGGCAAATTTGAGATGTTTTTCCTGCTATAAAAATGGATGACCAGAACAGTAAAAGCAAAGTAAAGGATTTTTTCCATGCCCAATTTGTAATTATGCAATTCATCCCAGATCAATCTATGATGGGTATGGTACACACTTTCTCCCAGTTTGCACTTGTGTTTTCAGCTTGGCTTGTGCGTCTTTCATTATTTAGAAGTGCTTCATTTTTCTGTAGTTAAGTTTGTCATTCAGTCTCTGCGGTGGGATGAATGGTGGACCCCCAAAAGGTTGTCCATGCCCTCAGCACCACAGCCTGAAGTTCTTCCTTCTTTGTGAAAAAGGGTGTTTAGAGATGTCATAATTTAAATCTTGAGGTGTGATCATCCTGGATTACCCCGGCAAGCCCAAAATCCATCGACAAGTGTCCTTGTAAGAGACATACAGTGGAGAAGACAATGGAAGATGGAGTTCAAGTCCTAAACCATTTCTGCCTCTGGGCTCCCTCCCAGGGCCCTGCCATGGGCCATAATGCTGTCCCATCTCTGTGCATTCAGACTCTCTCCTCACCCCTCTTTCTTTCCAGGGGCCTCCATGGCCCACCTGACCAGATGCAAATTCTCAAAATCCTTGGCCTAAATGGTGAACAATGGTTGCATAGATAGGAGTTGCCCTTGTCTGACACATTATGAGTGGGAGTAAATTAATCAGAACATAAGTAAGCAGAAAGGAAAAAAGATCACAATTACCTGTATTCCACTACTCAGAATTATTTTTACATACCATTCTCTCTTCCTTTCTCCTTCTCCTGCCACTACCATCTCCTCTTTTTCTGTTTCCTCTTTCTCCCTCCCTTATTCTCCCATTTTGAAATTATGATAATATTATATATACTGTTTTGATTGTGAAGCCTAGGAAATTACCTATATTTCATTTAGATTTTCAAGTATGTTGGCATAAAGTGGTTCACAGATTTTTCTCATGACTTTAAGACCTCTGCTATACTTGTAATCATGTCTCCTTTTCTTTCCAAATATTACCTATTTGATACTAAGCTTTTTTGCCCTTTGATCAGTAAGTTCTGAGATTTATTTTGTTAATTTAAACAAAGTACTAATATTTTAGTTGACTATATTGCTTATTTATTTTCCATTCCAATAAAGTCTAGTCTTACCTTTATTACTTTTCTCTACTGGTTTTGAGTTTGCTCTATTCCTTTCTCTTTTTTTATTGAATTGTAATTAAAATACAGTATTAAATTAGTTTCAGGTGTACAACACAGTGATTCAACAATTCTATACCCTACTCAGTGCTCATCATGGTAAGTGATGGTACTCTTAATCCCCATCACCTATTTCACCCATCCTCCCTCCCCCCTCCTCTCTGGTAACCAGCAGTGTGTTCTCTATAGTCAAGAGTCTGCTTTTTGTTTATCTCCTTTTTCTTTGTTTCTTAAATGCTACAAATACATGAAATCATATGATATTTGTTTTTCTCTAGCTGACTTATTTCACTTCACCATTACTTATTTCACTTCACCATTACACCTTCTAGGTCCATTTATGTTGTTGTAGGTGGCAAGAACTCATTCTTTTTATGACTGAGTAATATTCCATTGTATGCACATACCACATCTTCTTTATCCATTCATCCATCAGTGAACACTTGGGCTGCTTCCATATCTTGGTGATCATAAACAAAGGCTGCAACAAACATAGAGGTGCATGTAGCTTTTCAAATTAGTGTTTTTGTTTTCTTTTTTATTTATTTTTATTTGTTGTGTTTTTGTTTTCTTTGGGTAAATATCGAGTAGTGGAATTATTGGACCAGATGGTATTCCTATTTTTAAGTTTTCGAGGAAACTTTTATATTGTTTTCCACAGTGACTGCTCCAGTTTGCATTCCCACCAAAAATGTGAGGGTTCCTTTTTCTCCACATCCTCACCAACACTTGTTATTTCTTGTCTTTTTGGTTCTAACCATTCTGACAAGTGTGGGGCGGTATCTCATTGTGGTTTTGATTTGCATTTTCCTGATTAATGATGTTGATCATCTTTCCATGTGTCTGTTGGCCATCAGTATGGCTTCTTTGGAGAAAAATCTATTCAGGTTTCTACACATTTTTTTTTAAATTCAGCACAATTATGTAGTATTTATTCCTGGGCTGCAAGGGTGGTTGAACATCTTGATAGAAGCGTGAACTCTTCTTACTGTAGCATTCCAGCTGTTCTCTCTTTAAATCTCAAGCCAAATTTGTAGGTTTTCAGGATGATCTGAAAGTTATCTAGGTAATTTGGTGGGCACAGGTGACTTGGGGACACTACTCTTCTGCCATCTTGCCCCGCCCTACCGTTTCTACACATTTTAATAAGATTATTTCTTTTTGGGGGCATTGAGTTGTTAAGTTCTTTATATATTTTGGATAGTAACCCTTTATCAGATATATCATTTGAAAATTTTTGTTTTATTGATGATTTTCTTGCTGTGCAGGTTTTTATTTTGGTGTAGTCCCAACAGTTTAATTTTGATTTTGGTTCCATTGCTGAGGAAACATATCTAGAAAAAAAAATGTTTCTATGGCCAACATCGAAGAAATTACCATCTATGTGCTCTTCTAGAAATTTCATAGTTTTAGGTCTCAGATTTAGGTCTTTAATCCATTTTGAGTTTATTTTTGTGTGTGGTTGTACAGTTTCATTCTTTTGCAGGTAGCTGTCCAGTTTTCTATGTAGCTGTCCAGTTTTGTCAGCACCATTTATTGAAGATACTGTCTTTTCCCCCATTGCATATTCTTGTCTCTACTGTTTTTGATTAATGGACTGTATAAGCCTGGGTTTATTTATGGGCTTTCTATCTGTTCCACTGATCTAGGTGTTTGTTTTTGTGCCAGTACCACACTACTTTGATTACTGTAGCTTTATAGCATATCTTGGAATCTCCAATTGTGATACCTCTGGCTTTGCAAGATTGCTTTGGTTATTTGGGGACTTTTACATACACATTTTATGAGTATTTGTTCCAGTTATGTGAAAAATGTTAGTGTTTGATGCAAATTGCAGTAGATCTGTAGATTTCTTTGAGTAGTATGGATATTTTAACAATATTATCTCTTCCATATTTTTGCATTTCTGTCATTTTCAATTTCTTTCATCAATATTTTATAGTTTTCAGAGTGCAGGGCTTTCACCTCCTTGGTCAAGTTTATTCCTAGATTTTTTTTGATGCAATTGTAAATAGGACTCTTTCTTAATTTCTCATTCTTGCTACTTCATTATTAGTGTAGAGAAATGCAACAGATCTCTGTATATAGTTTTGTATCCTGCAACTTTACTGAATTCATTTATCAGTTCTAGAAGTTTTTATTTTGCAGTCTTTAGGGTTTTCTAGACATAATTTTTAAAAAATAAATTTTAAAAAGTAAAACTCATTTACTTTTAATGTTTATTCTTTTCTAATGTGCATTTAAGGCTATAATACTCTCCACATATCCCTTTCACTGAAACACACAGGTTTTCAATAAGAACATTTTTATTGTTAGTCTGTTTTACATATTTGATAATTCTCAGGTTTAAAATTTCCAAATATAGCACTTTTTTAATGATTCTTTAAATATATTTTGATCAGAGAAGAGGGTCTGGAAGAAATTAATTCTCTAGTACTTGTTGAGACTTGCATGATAGCCTACTCCATGCTCAATTTTTGTAAAGTTCCATATCTGTTTGAAAAGAATATTTATCCTTTATTTATTAAACATTAAATCTTTCCATTATAATTGTGGATCTATAATTTCCCTTCAATTCTAGTTAATTTTTTACTTTATATTTTTTAAGACTATAATGTAAGGTGCATCAAGATTCATAAATGCTATGTTCTTAATGAAATTTTCCTTTTGTGATTACATACAAACCTGTTTATCACTAATAATACTTTTTTGTCTTAAAGTTGGTCTTAAAAATAAATAAATAAATAAATAAGTTGGTCTTATATTTATAATCTATATTGGTTATTTCTTTAGTTATTTTTTTTAATTGATGGTGTGCCAGGGTATATCTTTTTATACCTTCTCAATTTCAACATTTGTATTGTGTTTCAGATTGGGATGTTATGAGCAGAACATAACTGAATTTTCTATTTTCCTGCTGTATGAGAATTCCTTTCACCATGAAAGTTTAAACCATTTATATTGAGATTACTAATATATTCATATATGTGCTGCTGAAGCAAGCACTAGATTACTAATATATTTGGATTTATATCTACTATTATTTAGTGTTTTCTTTTTATTGTGTTTGTTTCCTCTTTTTCT